GAGTCAATTCTCACACAGGTGACAGCCCCTCCACTTTAAACCGCGCATGTTCAGCTGATCTGGGTACTATTATGAGTGACCAGATCAGCTATAGGGATCGAACTGACAACCTTACAGGTGTAAGATGCCAATCAATTTACAGTCAGTGCTTAAGATGTAAAATGTAGAATCAAAATAGATTTCCAAAAATGAAGAATTCATAAATACGGCTGTATATATTTTGTGATTGGTTGAACAATCAAAGATACAATACAAACTTTAATATTGTATTTATCATAGTTATGTTTCGTAAAAACGTTTTCACCAGGATTGAAGAAAAAAGTAATTAAGACCTAGGGGAAAAAAATTTCTGGTAATGTTGTTTCCCCAATTTGAGCTTTTATTGAAATTATTTTCACATTTATATACAATTTGTGATTTACTTATCTGGGTCTAAGATCAGACAGAGAAAAGAACATTAAAAAAAAAATAACTGACATAATTAAAAAAAGCTTTCTTAAAGGGCGACAGTCGTCGTGCTGCGTCCTGTTCGATATGGGACTCATAGCGACGTATACATCGCATGTAAAATTGTAAAAATTGTTTATTTACATGAAATTCGAACAGGCGCTGCGCGACAACCACCACGCTTTATCCAAATATAGCTTGATGATTGACAGACTTTATACAAGGGACATTCTTGGGAATACATCTGAAAGCGTTGTATAACTAAATGTTCCTTCAACCTTTCAAATTTATATCATTCATCATTATGACATTTTTCTACCGATTTTGAAGCAATTGTACTTATCTATGACCTCTGACTTCTATCTTTTAAGATGAGAATGACACCACTTTTCAGAAAATTTTGCAATAAATACTTACCCTTTCTCAGATTATGGTTCTTTTCTTTGACGTGTGTGATCAATTACATAAGGCAAGGTTTTCAGTGATTATTGAACATTTAGAATTTCAGTGATGAGTGTTGAAATTGTAGACCTTTTCTAGACATTTTGAACCAAAAAAACTACCCCATTGGGTAACATGTGTGCAGCTTCCAATGCAAGGCCCCACCCCACCCCCTCCCCAGGAAAAAAACACCATCACAAATGATAATTAAACAGTTAAATTTATGGTTGACACACAGAACTAAGTTAATTATAACGATAATCACATTAAGCATTCCACAGTGTATTACTGATTTTTATTTAAAATAAAATATTTTCCTGTAGTCCTATATAAAAACTAGATTGGAAAACAGAAATCTAAAAATATCGTTTTTAACCACTATGATCATAACAAAATTGCTGACAACTATGTCCGGTATAATTTTTATTAAATTAATGCCACTGTCAATCTGATGGTATCCGATATATTTGATTAAAAAAAACACACTAAGTGTTGAAAACTTAGAGTTGAGTGACATACATGCATTTTATTTTCAGCTCATTTCACCCAAATTACAGTTACTGAAGAGCATGGTCACACAAAAATGTGATATAATTCACACAAAAAATTCACACTTCAAATTCTGTACGAGTTTGATGACATATTCAATAAACAAACCTACATGGCGGCGGTTATCTCCTTTTCTAGAGTTTGAAGTATCGCGTGCTTAGCTACAGAAAGCACTGTGAAGGGTCAGGTTTTATGTCTTTTCGTAATTTAAAACGTTATTCGTTCGAGTGTAAGCGATATGCATTAATAAAATGAAATGCCAGTGTATGCACTTTTTTCCCCCCTGATAAGTCATGATTACGTCTTCCATGGAATTGACGTTGTGTGCAAGTATGTAAATAAATGAGTGCATTTTTGTTTCTCACATACATATACACCAAGATTTGTTCAAAATTAGTACAGAAAACATCGGTTGAGATACAGACCTGTGATTTGTTTTTGCAATCAAAATAGTAGCTTAGGAGCTTTTGATTATTACCAAATTTTGTGAGTTTTCTCGGACAAGTATGCATTTTAGTCATTTATTTCAAGCATCTTGGTTGTTATTTTGTATTTTTGAATCTTTTGTAACCTTTTAGAAAAAGAAGCCTGCATCAATTGTTTTTTCAAGAGTTTTGGTCAAAAATTTGTATGGTAAAATATTATTCAGACCTAAAATTAATAAAAAATTAGAACAAAAAATGAAAGTGTGCAAAAGATAACACTGAAACTTTAGTAGGGAAAATTATCAAAAGTTTGCTGACCGAAGCCTCCACAAATAGCTGAATTGGATAAAAACTGTGTCAGAAAGTGATATATAATTTGTTTTAATGAACCGCCAATGTATCAAATACTGTAAAAGTTTTAAAAAAAATACAGGACATTATGTCAATTTAATGCACTATTACGACGTCAACCCTTTCGCTGATCTAACACAAGGGTCTGTTGACCTTAACAAAAGTTTTCAAAAGAAAGGACATAGCTAATCTTTATTGAGTCTGTGGTACACACCCAGGGGTTGACCCAAGGAAGGGTTTCAATTCAACATTTTCCAATCACAATGTGGAAGCAACAACTACAAGATTACTGATGATCAGTAGTCCATCTTAGCAGATAAAAGAATAATCCTTTCTCAATCATGCAAATTTCTATATATCTCAAGACTAAAATTCTGCTCAGAAATGTGAAAAACTGAACTAGAAAATGTTACGAATTGTTTAAATAAATTATTTACAAAAGGCTTCAATACCACT